AAACTTATACTATCCTTGGGAAGATATACACTGATATGAGTGTATATATAAGGTAATTAAACAGTAGCAAGCAGTATTTGGAGGATAATTTGGGTAAAACTGAACCTGAATCATTAATCTGATGTGTAAACCTTCTTAATCCCACAGTTATGCAAGATTAAGCAAAATAATTACCCTTTTCAGTGTGAAGGCTGGGGGTATCATGATAATTCTGGAGTGGGTGGTGCCAGTTTTTTCTAACCTTTTCTCCATTAACCCCAGATTAGGTGTCTAACTGTTCTCTTTGGATTTATAAAACAGGAGAGGTGCCCAGTGTGGAGAAAGCAATAAGGAGATGCCTTTTGGACACTTTCAAACACACAGATGAGGAATTCCTCAAGCAGGCTTCCAGCCAGTAAGTATATACTTACCAGGTACACAACATCATGTCTGTGTTAAAGGTATTTGAGGCTGAATCACTTTAGAAAGTTGGTGGGGATGCATCACTGAATCCTTTTCTTCTATCAAGCAGTTCCTGTATATGGAAAGGTAGCCTATTGAGAAGAATGTTAACTGATATTTGTCTACTATTTTTAGAATGTGCAGAGGAGAGGAAGGTACTCCAACATGCATTCTGGAATATTACACTTGAAAATGCAAGGAGGGCTGTATTATATGTGTGTGTGGTTCCATAAGGCCTAACATTTCCATCTTTATAACGGGGTACTTGGAATCTTAAGTAGTTTGAGAACCACCTTGAATAGCTGGGCTCATCTTTGTTTTGCCCCAAATTTCTGAAACTCACAGGAAACCTGCTTGGAAAGATGGTTCCACGGCAACCTGTGTGCTGGTGATTGATAATACTCTGTACATTGCCAACCTTGGAGACAGTAGGGTAAGTCACACTGAAAACTGTGGATCCAGCTTGCATGAGTTTTATGGCATTAAACATGGGTAATTGTTTTGCTTCAGTGATAAGATGCTATAGCAACTATCCTTTACTTCAGTACCTATTTTGCAGTTTCTTTACCAAGTGACCAATAGGCTGACATAAACTCTTCTTATAGTAAGACCCCTGTAGTGGCTGGGTGATTTTGGATGGGGGGGTCTTAGTGACCTCTGGGTGATGCTATATGTTGGACGATGATGTCTTTTTTTAAAACAACTTTTTAATTGAAGATAGGTGGAGGTAAACACTGGTACCCTTTTCCATCTAACTAGAGTGCTTGATGTTTCAATACAGCAGGGGTCAGCAACTTTTCAGGCCCCAACACTATTGCATGATTTCAAGTGATATCCCAGATATCTCAAAATAAATCTTGCTCAGAATGTTGGCAGTCTTGCCCTGAGTTCACATGAGATTTCAGCCTTATTACTTTTTTTGGTTATTTTGCTAAAAATTGTTCCAGCTTCATTTGAGGGGGTTGGTAGTGCTGTTTTGAGGACAACAGGCCCTTTGTCCCCCAGATGTCATTTGTTAAGCACTACAGTACAATGTGTTGCTTATATCTTGCTAGCAGAGACTTTACACTTGTAGCTCTTGCTACTTGCTTACAAGAGTTATTTTGTCAATGCAGGCAATTCTGTGCCGTTACAATGAAGAGTCTCAGAAGCACACAGCTTTAAGTCTTAGTAAAGAACATAATCCAACTCAGTATGATGAGCGGATGAGGATCCAAAAGGCTGGAGGCAATGTCAGGTAACAAACAGAGGAAGCAACAAAGGGAAATGATGGGGAGGAAGTTTAGAGTTGCCAAAATTCCAACAACTTCTTGGGGAAGCTAGTGTAGTACAGGGATTAAAATGTTGGTCTTGGAAATCCAGGTTGAATGCCCCACAGAACTCACTGGGTGATTTTAGGATACTCACTCTCTAAACTCCAATTTCCTTTCTGTTATGGGAATAAAGTTAGGGAAGGCACCTATTTTAAACTTGAGGCCTCAGAAAAAAGGTAGGATATGTAATAAATGTTGGGTACTTAATAATGGGTATTATGTATACACACACACACACACAAATATATAAAGAAACTTTATATACAGTTGCAAGAAAAAGTATGTGAACCTTTTGGAATTTCATGGTGTTCTGCATTAA